GACAAACCTTACCGGTTGGCTGTGTCGAGCGGTGTCGGCTTAACGACACATTTACACCATTGGTACCACATTTGCCAGTAAAAAATATGATAATTGTTTTTTTACCCTTTTATCTGGCAACAAAACTGACACCTTTTTTACGAGGAGTCATGTTTGCATAGACCACAATACCTGCAGTCATAATGCAAACAAAAAACATAAACTCTGATAATGTGTGCACTGTCCTTGAAGTTGATTGTCAATCAAAGTATTGTGGTCTATGCAAACATGACTCCTCGTAAAAAAGGTGTCAGTTTTGTTGCCAGATAAAAGGGTAAAAAAACCAATCAACTTCTAGGACAGTGCATACATTATCAGAGTTATGTTTTTTGTTCGCATTATGACTGCAGGTATTGTGGTCTATGCAAACATGACTCCTCGTAAAAAAAGGTGTCAGTTTTGTTGCCAGATAAAAGGGTAAAAAACCAATTATGACACATTTATACTTACGCGATCTAACCCCCCAAAAAAATACCTCTTATTACGAGTGACATTTGATGCATTCTCATTTTTGTTGTTGTTGTTGCCTGCGCTGCTTGGAGCCCCTAAGCCTTTGATGAGGTTCGCTCATGCCGAGGCGCTGTCCGACCTGGTTGCACCTCAACGACGTCACACAAGTTCGAGATGCCCCCACTCACCTACCCACCTACCCACCCACTCACCTACCCACCTACCCATCAACCCACCCACCCACTCAAGTTCGAGATGCCCGCGCCGCTCACACGTTGGGATTTTTCGCAAAAGTGCACTTTTCACAGTAACGGAGTTCCACACCGCGGCGTGTCGCCATAAAACAACGTGCACCTCACTCTGGGTTGACCCTTGACCCTTCGCTTGTCGTACAAAAACCACATTTACTGATCTACCCACCCACACTCACCTACCCACCTACTCAACAACATCCCCAACAACCCACTCACTTACCCGCCTACCCGCCCACTCACCTACCCACCCACCCACCTACCCATCAACCCACCCACACACCTACCCACCTACCTACCCACCTACCCACCTACCCACCCACTCACCTACCCACCTACCCATCAACCCACCCATACACTCACCTACCCACCTACCCGCCCACTCACCTACCCACCTACCCACCCACTCACCTACCCACCTACCCATCAACCCACCCATACACTCACCTACCCACCTACCCGCCCACTCACCTACCCACCTACCCACCCACTCACCTACCCACCTACCCATCAACCCACCCACCCACTCACCTACCCACCTACCCACCCACCTACCTACCCACCTACCTACCCACCTACCCATCAACCCACCCACACACCTACCCACGAACCTACCCTCCTACCCAACAACAAACCAAACAACCCACCCACCCACTCACCTACCCACCTACCCGCCTACTCACCTACCCACCTACCCACCCACCCACCTACCCACCCACCTACCCACCTACCCATCAACCCACCCACTCACCTACCCACCTACCGAACAACCCACCCACTCACCTACCCACCTACCCGCCCACTCACCTACCCACCTACCCACCCACCTACCCACCCACCTATCCACCTACCCATCAACCCACCCACTCACCTACCCACCTACCCATCAACCCACCCACCCACTCACCTACCCACCTACCCGCCCACTCACCTACCCACCTACCCACCCACCCACCTACCCACCCACCTACCCACCTACCCATCAACCCACCCACTCACCTACCCACCTACCGAACAACCCACCCACTCACCTACCCACCTACCCGCCCACTCACCTACCCACCTACCCACCCACCTACCCACCCACCTATCCACCTACCCATCAACCCACCCACTCACCTACCCACCTACCCATCAACCCACCCACCCACTCACCTACCCACCTACCCGCCCACTCACCTACCCACCTACCCATCAACCCACCCACCCACTCACCTACCCACCTACCCATCAACCCACCCACCCACTCACCTACCCACCTACCCATCAACCCACCCACCCACTCACCTACCCACCCACCCACCCACCCACTCACCTACCCATCTACCGACCCACCTACCCGCCCACTCACCTACCCACCCACTCACCTACCCACCCACACTCCCCTCCATCCTCGAGATTATGAAGCTGGGTCCACACCAGAGCGACAAGCTGCGTTAACTTGACTGCGCGCCACGTAATTGCCTGCTTATGATGCGCAGACGCATCCCGTCGCAGATATACGTCCACGCATTATAAGCGGGCAATGAAGCCGAGGGATTGAGTTAGATTCGGGTTGCGCAACTCATCGCCGTCGCTGCAATCAGTTGCAAGCAGTGGCAACAGCTGAAAACTCCACATGTTCGTGAGTCATACGATGGCCTTAAAAAGAATGGTATATAGCAGGTGACGTTTCAGGTAATGGCCCTTCTTCAGGGCACATTTTACTCGACGAATGTGTTGGGTTGAATTTTTTCTGGTGCTTGTACCAATCTGCAACAACGGCAGCAGCAGCATCACCCAGCTATATATATATATTTATAATCATTACTTGTATATGCGACGACATTTGCGCAACTACGAATGGTCGTCAAGATCCCCCCAAACACGTGGCGCTCAATTTCGATTTAAAGCTTCTTTCGTGACTGCAGCAGGGATTCATCTTCTTGGTTCTTTCGGTAAAGTCATCACGTAGAAGGGAAATAATAAAATAATGAAAATAAAACAGCATGAAATAATTCTCACGACGTTTCGGCCACAACGCAAGCAGCCGTCCTCAGGTGAAGAACAGGTCTGTCGGAAAGACAGCGTCTGAATGAAACACCACCAGGCTTGGCAGCTTATATTTAAGCTGGGTTGGAGGGGGAAGAGCGCCTTGACAAAATAATTTGCATATCAAGAGGAATTTAGCATATTTATGGGAAATGCAGATATGGGATTAGTACTACTTGTGAAATGCGTAGGAGGTGGGCGGGGGGTTTCAAAGTCATATTATGCCCGTGCAATATGCAGGATTAGCAGCATCAAAGGGAGGGGATAGGGGTAGCATTAACAAAGGGAAGGAATGTTAATAGTATGTAGCTGCAGTAACTATATTTATTATTTTATCATTTCCCTTCTACGTGACTTTACCGAAAGAACCAAGAAGACGTGGAGTTCATTTGCTGTCGCTGTGCACAGCTGCTCGCTCGCTCAGGTGTGGACTAAACGCAGCCCCCCCGGGCCAAGAGAAACGCTGCGTGAATTTCGATTTAAAGCTTCTTTCGTGACTGCAGGGATTCATCTTCTTAGTTCTTTCGGTAAAGTGACGTAGAAGAAAAATAATACAATTATGAAAGTAAAACATAATAAAATAATTATTTTATTATGTTTTATTTTCATTATTTTATTATCGTGACTTTACCGAAAGAACCAAGAAGATGAATCCATGCAGTCACGAAAGCTTTAAATCGAAATTCACGCAGCGTTTCTCTTGTTTAATTTTCATTATTTTATTATTTTCCTTCTACGTGACTTTACCGAAAGAACCAAGAAAACGATGCGCGATTTCGACCACGGAGAATTCGGCTTGACGCAAACCAACGATCGCTGAGGTGGTGGAGTCGGCGTCGAATCGTTCCAGACGTTCCATTCCAAAATCGCTCTCCTACCCCAGAACCACCACCCCCCCCCTCCTTCTGCCACCTCCCCCCCCTGCATTTTACACGCGAAAATAAAAACATCATTGTTCACGACTTTACATATTTGTAAAAAAAATTGCAAACGAAATACTCTTAGACGCGACAACAGAAAATGAACAAAACTAGCGATGTCAGTCCGCTGATTGTGACGTCAAAACAATTGTCTCTTTGTGCTGCGGTGCGGAGTCTGCTGGGCGCGTCTTGGTCTCGCTTGACCGAAACCTTTGCAACCCAGGAACCAACTTGTCCTCAGTCGATCCACGTAGCGGAGTCCCGGTGAGCGAAGATTTGTTTAATTCGCGTTCTTGCGTTTCCCGACAAATTGGACCACCACGAACCAACTTTTTTGATCCCGGGAGGCTATTGAGGGTGTCTCTAATACCTCGAAAGGTACAGCGTGGGAGGTGTGCACGGGATACATTTTACACGATGACTGGTGATGATGATGATGACGATCCATCTATCTGTCGCGCACCTGGACCATTAGCTGTGCATCGAATTGTAAGTCATGTTGAGGTGAGGCCTCACAGATGGTGTGACCTTCTCGATCTTCTTGCTCGGGGGATTTGGAATTGAATGTGGCTGCAGGTGTCAGTGCCGACGATCTTGGGACTCCACGAGTTTCTCTGTTCTCAAGAGCGAAGCGCCCGTGCCTCTGAAAACATTCCCACGGCCCCTTGGCCAAGGCAGTGTCACCTCCCAAGGCCAGTCCGTTGCGTGAGGGCCAAACTCCCATCGGAGAAAGTACCGGCTCCGGTCAACAATTCTCTCGAATCTCTTCGAGAAAAGACGCAGGTTTGAGAACTTCACCGATCCCCAAGGTAATGCCCCGAACTTCTTGGCGAGTAGGACATTGCCCAGGGGCGGCTTTATGTGCATCTCAAGGTGCTCACTACAAGGTCCCATGACCTCCTCGTAAATTCTCCACAATCGGTGGTCCAAAGTCTCGCTGGCGACGTGACACATCCTCTGGCCACAAGCCCGCCAGACACCCACAGATTGGGTTTGAAGACCCTCAGTCGATACGGCAGATCCACCTGGATGACACAAACCATCCTGATCTCCGTGTAAACTCCCAGCTCTCTCTCGGCAAAATAGCAGGTGGCCCACAATCAAAACCTTGCCAGGTCCCCCCTTTGTGCAATGTCGCCTAGTTCTCTGGAAAGCGAGGCCTCGCATCTCCCGAGTACAGCTGCACAACTTCGCCCAAGTTCCCCCCCCCCCTCGCTCCAGACGAACGACACTCCAGGACGAGACGGGCAGCGTTGTCGGCTCGCGGGACCCGTAGCTGCTGCCGCCGCCACCGCCGCCGCGGCCGCCCTCAGTAGGGCTCCGCGCCCTGCACGCTGCCGTCGCTGCTGCCGCGGGAGGAGGGCGGCACGGGCGGGTAGGGCCTGTAGGCCACGCGGGCGCCACCGTCGCGGACGGCAGCACCGCCCTCGCCAGCCAGCGAGTCCTCGGTGTCCGGAGATGGACTCGGCTGCTCCAGGATGGCGCCGCTGGCCGATTCGCCTGAGCCGGAACAACGTCAGGTTCAGCGACATCGTCTGGCGACGTCACACATCGCTGTGACGTCGTGGCCAATAATAAAACGCCACTCGGGAACCGGTCGGGGAGGAAGCCACGCGGTGAGACGATTATCGAGAATTGGCCCAAGCTCTGCCAGTGCTCGGTGATGGCAACGGAGTAACCTTTGAGAGCGACGCCTCTTTTAACGCCGTTTCGTTACAACGCCCCTCCTTGGTTGCGGAGGGAAAGTTACAGCGCAGGTCGGCCAATGTACGGGAGAAGGTGGGTGAGCCGCTGGCACCAGCAGGGCCGCGTCTTTGCCCAAACATGGCCTTGTGGAACCCGAATCGAAGGTGCCTGCCGCGTCGATTCTGCTCGTGGTCGAAACCGACAGCCACGTTCGAGTATCGATGCATCGAGGGTTAATCACCGCATAGTTTCCTGTGGGACGTATGCAGACGGCGGTTAATCGTTTGCACGCTCCAGCCGAACGCACTGGTGAGTACATCAATTATTGTATGTTTTACGTCATTATCATTAAATAGTCGCAATTCATAAAATGCTTGAATGCTTTCATTTTTCTCGAATTGGTAAACAAAACTCACTATTCTAAGAGCCGCAATGGTACGTGAATACAAGACGACATCACTAAATCAGTCCTTGAAGAGCCGCAGTCTGACCAAGCCCCTGATTTAGATCATTTAAACGTGCGTAGCTCCAGTGGCATTCCTAACATCGGAAGAGAGAGCGTTCCAGACGGCCCCAAGTCGGCGAATGCTCTACGGAGGGGACCTTTGTCTTGCGAGGCCAGGCACGGTGTGTCCTCCTATAGAGTGGTGGTAGTACTTTTGCGTTCCTGGAGAACAGCGCGTTATCGAAAAATACCGTTTAAACAAACTCGGAAATAACATGGGGGGCTAAAGCACGGCAGTCGGCGACAAGGCGCGAGACGTGCAACGCAGGCCCGAGCAATGAGCGAGGCGCATGAGTCGCATCCAAGAAGCATCCAGCAGCGTCCCACCGATCCAGCAGCATCCCACCGATCCAGCAGCATCCCACCGATCCAGCAGCATCCCGATGCCTCGTGCGACGTCTACTCCGAAGCAGCTGGGCGGCCGCTTACCACCCGCCCGCGGCAACACACCTCCGCTCGCTCGATCGCGTTGCATCCAATTCATATCCGCGCTTTTATATATGTATATATGTGTGTGTGTGCAGTGAAACCTTGGATTGCGAGTAACTTAGTCTGCGAGTGTTTTTGCAAGACGAGCAGAAATGTTAATTCAATATTAATTTGGTAAACGAGCGAGGTCTTGCAATACGAGCAGTACGTACAGTAAATACGCTTTGTCTGCCGAGCGTCACGTGATCACAGCTGAGCCGATGGTTCTTCTCTCTTTCTCTCTCGCTGCGGGATTGTGGGTAATCGTCTCCCATGCTCGGTCTCAGTCGGCGTGCCTCACTCGTATGGTCAACATCCGTGCGAGCGTCGACTGTTTACTATATAGTGTTGTGACCACGTGTGTGTGTGCGTAAAGCATTTTTTGTATTTTGTGTCCAAGTGTAGTGACTTCTTTAGTAGCTGTACTGCAAGTGGAAGTCGTCCTACACAATAATCCTCCTCTCCTCTCTCTCGTCTCCCTCACACCAGCCACGATTACATCTAATTAATACATTTGATTACTTTATCTAAAATTTGAATAATCAAAATAGAAAAAAGGTATTTTGCATTAATAATTTTTATACGAACACAGTATTTTTTGGGTTGTGGAACGAACCTTCCGAGTTTCCATTGCTTCTCACGGGGAAATCCGCTTTGATACACGAGCGCTTTGGATGACGAGCACGTTTCCCGGACACGGACCACGCTCGCGATCCAAGGTCTCGCTGCTCATTCCAAAAACTTTCTCCCCGAACAATATTCCCTCGTCGCGCCATATCACAAGCATCGTCACCTTCTCCGGCGTGTATCTTGAGGTGGAACTTGAGCTCGTAGGGCTGCGCAAACGCTTTGCCGCAGGCTCCGCACGCCAGGCTCGCCTTCTCCTTGGCGTGCGTCCGCCGCACGTGGCTGTCGTGCGCCGCGTGCGACGCGAACGCCTTGCCGCAGTGGCGGCACTTGAAGGGCTTCTCGCCCGAGTGCTGGCGGATGTGGGTGCGCAGGATGGACGACGCGGTGAACGCCTGGCGCGCGTGCGTGTGTGTGTGTGGGTGTGTGGGTGGGCGTGTGTGTGTGCGTGTGTGTGGTGTGTGTGTGGTGTGTGGGTGGTGTGTGGGTGGTGTGTGAGTGGTGTGTGTGTGTGGTGGTGTGTGGTGTGTGTGAGTGTGTGTGTGGTGTGTGGGGTGTGGTGTGTGGTTGTGTGTGTGAGTGTGTGTGTGTGGTGTGTGTGTGTGTGTGGTGTGTGTGGGGTGTGTGTGGTGTATGTGGGTGTGAGTGTGTGTGGTGTGTGGTTGTGTGGGTGAGTGTGTGAGTGTGGGGTGGTGTGTGGTGTGTGTGTGAGTGTGTGTGGTGTGTGTGGGGTGTGTGTGGTGTATGTGGGTGTGAGTGTGTGTGGTGTGTGTGTGGTTGTGTGTGAGTGTGTGTGTGAGTGTAGTTGTGTGGGCGTGTGTGGTGTGTGGGGTGTATGGGTGTGGTGTGTGTGTGGGGTGGTGTGTGTGTGGTGTATGGGTGTGGCGTGCGTGTGTATGGTGGTGTGTGTGTGATGTGTGTGGTGTGTGTGTGGGGTGGAGTGTGTGTGGTGTATGGGTGTGGTGTGTGTGTGGGGTGGTGTGTGTGTGGTGTATGGGTGTGGCGTGCGTGTGTATGGTGGTGTGTGTGTCATGTGTGTGGTGTGTGTGTGGGGTGGAGTGTGTGTGGTGTATGGGTGTGGTGTGTGTGTGAGTGTGGGGTGGTGTGTGTGGTGGTATATATGTGTTGGTGTATATGTGTGGAGGTGTGTGTGGGGTGGTGTGTGTCGTGTGTGTGGGTGTCGTGTGTGTGTGGTGGTGTGTGTGTGGGTGTGTGAGTGTGGGGTGTGTGGGGTCGTGTGTGTGGTGTGTGAGTGTGTGGCGTTTTTGTGTGGTGGCAGTGTGTGTGGTGGTGGTGTGTGGATGTGGCGTATGTGTGGGGTGTGTGTATTGGTGTATGTGTGTGTGTGTGGGGTACGTGTGGTGGTATATATGTGTTGGTGTATATGTGTGGTGGTGTGTGTGTGGGGGGTGTGTGTATGGTGTGTGTGTGGTGGTATGTGTGTGTGGGGTGTGTGTGTATTGGTGTATGTGTGTGTGTGGTGGTGTGTGTAGTGGTGGTGTATGTGTGTGTGTGGTGTGTGTGTGGTGGTGTATGTGTGTGTGTGGTGGTGTGTGTAGTGGTGTTGGACACAACAAACAGAAATGGGTAAATTTAACACGACCGATATTATGATTCAGAATACAGATTTCATTTTTTGGAGGGGTGGAGGAGGGTTTACGACACACATTTCCCTTGCGAGGTCTGAACCAATCATCAATTGTGTGGGTGGACTGAAGTGGCAATGGGCCGGAACACTCCATTGTTGTAGGGGCGGTGGAGGGGGTGAAACTCTAAAGCGGACTACGGCCTTAAGGAAGGAACCAGGATTATTTTATTTTATTTTACTTTTATTAATTTTAATTTTAATTTTTTACCTACATGACTTTACCGAAAAAAACCTAAGAATATGAAAAGGAACCAGGAAACAAGTCCATAAATAAATCTATATCCTGCACACTGGAGACCCATAGAGTTACACAGAGACCCATAGAGGTACACAGAGACCCATAGAGTTACACAGAGACCCATGGAGTTACTCAGAGACCTATAGAATTACTCAGAGACCCATAGAGTTACACAGAGACCCATAGAGTTACACAGAGACCCATAGAGTTACACAGAGACCCATAGAGTTACACAGAGACCCATAGAATTACTCAGAGACCCATAGAGTTACACAGAGACCCATAGAGATACACAGAGACCCATAGAGTTACACAGAGACCCATAGAGATACACAGAGACCCATAGAGTTACACAGAGACCCATAGAGTTACACAGAGACCCATAGAGTTACACAGAGACCCATAGAGTTACACAGAGACACATAGAGATACACAGAGACACATAGAGTTACACAGAGACCCATAGAGTTACACAGAGACCCATAGAGATACACAGAGACCCATAGAGTTACACAGAGACCCATAGAGTTACACAGAGACACATAGAGTTACACAGAGACCCATAGAGTTACACAGAGACCCATAGAATTACTCAGAGACCCATAGAGTTACACAGAGACCCATAGAGTTATACAGAGACCCATAGAGTTACACAGAGACTCATAGAGATACACAGAGACCCATAGAGATACACAGAGACCCATAGAGTTACACAGAGACCCATAGAGATACACAGAGACCCATAGAGATACATAGAGACCCATAGAGATACACAGAGACCCATAGAGTTACACAGAGACCCATAGAGTTGCACAGAGACCCATAGAGTTACACAGAGACCCATAGAGGTACACAGAGACCCATGGAGTTACACAGAGACCCATAGAGTTACGCAGATAACCATAGAGATACACAGAGACCCATAGAGATACACAGATACCCATAGAGTTACATAGACCCATAGAGATACACAGAGACCCATGGAGATACACAGATACCCATAGAGTTACACAGAGACCCATAGAGATACACAGAGACCCATAGAGTTACACAGAGACCCATAGAGTTAGTTCAACGCGTAGGCTTTCACAACCAATATCATCCAGAATATGGGAGGGGGGGGGGGGCAGTGGGGAGGGGCAGTTTGGGAGTGAGGGCAGTTGGGGAGGTGGGGGCAGTTGGGGGGGGGTAGTTGGGGGGGGGGACAGTTGGGGAGGGGCAGTTGGGGAGGGGCAGTTGGGGAGGGGCAGTTGGGGGGGCAGTTGGGGAGGGGCAGTTGGGGGAGAGGCAGTTGGGGAGGGGCAGTTGGGGAGGGGCAGTTGGGGGGGGCAGTTGGGGAAGGGCAGTTGGGGAGGGGCAGTTGGGGGAGGGGCAGTTGGGGAGGGGCAGTTGGGGAGGGGCAGTTGGGGAGAGGCAGTTGGGGAGGGGCAGTTGGGGAGGGGCAGTTGGGGAGGGGCAGTTGGGGAGAGGCAGTTGGGGAGGGGCAGTTGGGGAGGGGCAGTTGGGGAGGGGCAGTTGGGGAGGGGCAGTTGGGGGGGACAGTTGGGGGGGGCAGTTGGGGGGGACAGTTGGGGAGAGGCAGTTGTGGAGGGGCAGTTGGGGAGGGGCAGTTGGGGAGGGGCAGTTGGGAGGGGCAGTTGGGGAGGGGCAGTTGGGGAGGGGCAGTTGGGGAGAGGCAGTTGGGGAGGGGCAGTTGGGGAGAGGCAGTTGGGGAGGGGCAGTTGGGGAGGGGCAGTTGGGGAGAGGCAGTTGGGGAGGGGCAGTTGGGGAGGGGCAGTTGGGGAGAGGCAGTTGGGGAGAGGCAGTTGGGGAGGGGCAGTTGGGGAGAGGCAGTTGGGGAGGGGCAGTTGGGAGGGGCAGTTGGGGAGGGGCAGTTGGGGGGGGGCAGTTGGGGAGGGGCAGTTGGGGAGGGGCAGTTGGGGAGAGGCAGTTGGGGAAGGGCAGTTGGGGAGGGGCAGTTGGGGGAGGGGTAGTTGGGGAGGGGCAGTTGGGGAGGGGCAGTTGGGGGAGGTGCAGTTGGGGGAGGGTCAGTTGGGGAGGGGCAGTTGGGGAGGGGCAGTTGGGGAGGGGCAGTTGGGGAGGGTCAGTTGGGGAAGGGCAGTTGGGGAGGGGCAGTTGGGGAGGGGCAGTTGGGGAGGGGCAGTTGGGGGAGGTGCAGTTGGGGGAGGGTCAGTTGGGGAGGGGCAGTTGGGGAGGGGCAGTTGGGGAGGGGCAGTTGGGGAGGGTCAGTTGGGGAAGGGCAGTTGGGGAGGGGCAGTTGGGGAGGGGCAGTTGGGGAGGGGCAGTTGGGGAGGGGCAGTTGGGGGAGGTGCAGTTGGGGGAGGTGCAGTTGGGGGAGGTGCAGTTGGGGGAGGTGCAGTTGGGGAAGGGCAGTTGGGGAGGGGCAGTTGGGGAGGGGCAGTTGGGGGGGCAGTTGGGGAGGGGCAGTTGGGGAGGGACAGTTGGGGAGGGGCAGTTGGGAGGGGCAGTTGGGGGGGGGTAGTTGGAGAGGGGCAGTTGGGGGGGGGGACAGTTAGGAGGGGCAGTTGGGGGAGCTGCAGTTGGGGAAGGGCAGTTGGGGAGGGGCAGTTGGGGAGAGGCAGTTGGGGAGGGGCAGTTGGGGAAGGGCAGTTGGGGGAGCTGCAGTTGGGGAAGGGCAGTTGGGGAGAGGCAGTTGGGGAGGGGCAGTTGGGGGGGGGGCAGTTAGGGGGGGGGCAGTTGGGCAGGGGCAGTTGGGGAGGGGCAGTTGGGGAGGGGCAGTTTGGGGGGGCAGTCAGAGCGAGCAGTTAAGGGGGGAGGGGACAGTTGACGGGGGGCAGTTGGGTGAGTGGGGGACCGCCACGGTCCAGGAGATGGTGGGGACACAGGGAAATATTCCTAGACATTTAAAGCTGTGCATCAATAACGATGCAGTTCATTTATTGTAAACTAATCTAAGAAACTAAACCATTTTTTTATGCCTACCAGGTAAGGGCCACCCAGCTACGTAGGTTTTTTTTGTCCCACGAATGACGGCTCAACACGAAGTGGCTTCATCACGTGGCAAAAAAAACTGTACAGCAAGCGGGCAAAATCCTCTGAATGCGATGCCACCGGTACGGTGATTCTCCACCCTCACCGTAAAGGAGGGCAAACACTCTAGGATCACCTTTCTGGCTCCCCCCACACCCCCCCAAACCCCCCCCCCCCTTCCTTGGCTCCTCCCCCCTCCTCCTCTTACCCTATATAATAATGCCCCATCACAAATAACTCCAACTACAGTTATTTTGCTGTGCCTTTTTACACCCGATGAAGGAAGCTTGTGTTGCCTCCGAAACGTCGTGATTCATTATATTATTTCTATTATTTTTATTTAATTTATTATTTACTATTTATCTATTTTTACCTACGTGACTTTACCGAAAAAACCTAAGAGTATAGGGCAAACACCCTCCATCGAGGGGGACGGTCCACCGACATCCCCATGGAGAGAGAGAGAGACGGAACACCACAGCGGGACTCTTGCTACTGCATCGGCGGTGGCTCGGAGATGTTAACTCCCTCGCCTGGTATGCAGGAGGTCGTGGGTTCGATCCTGACCCTGGAGATTGCGTGTCTCTCTCTCTCTCTCTCTGATCATCATCACGGTATCGAGATGTTAACTCCCTCGCCTGATATGCAGGAGGTCGTGGGTTCGATCCCGACCCTGACGCCTGCTGCTGTAGATTTGGAATCTCTGTGTCTCTTTCCCCGTGGTCCCTTTGACTCTGTGTCGGCTTCTCCAGGTGTTCCCCCCTGCACATTGAAAATCAACGCCACGCGCTTCAGAGCATCGTGGCTGCTGCTCTACAGACCCACGTGACGATGATGATAAACCACCTTGGTTGAGCCATCATTCGCGATTGCCAGGGTCGCTGCTGAGATAAAGGTGCGTCATAATCTTGATTTGAAGCTTTCGTGACTGCAGGCATCCACACTCTTTGGTCCTTTCGGTGAAGTCACGTGAGTCGAAACACAATAAACCAAATCACGACGTTTCGATCGCAACACAAGCAGTCTTCACCCGTTGGCCCGACTTCAGAAATGTTCTTGCTGTGGTTGTCCCAGCTGATGGAGACCGGCTTGTGTTGCGATCGAAACGTCGTGTTTTGTTTAATTTTATTTCTACCTACGCGATTTTACCGAAAGAACCAAAGAGCAGAGCTACGTCTAGGCCGAGTGGGCCTCACCTGTGGCAGTGAAGAAAGAATAAATAAACAATCTTCTTGGTTCTTTCGGTAAAGTCACGTAGAAGGGAAACAACAAAACAATAAAACACAACAAAACAATTCTCACGACGCCTCGGCCACAACGCAAGCAGCCGTCCTCAGGCGAAGAATTTTAAATCGAAATAAACAATCGTTTAGTTCAGCGAGAGACGGGCCGATGCGCGCTCATCCTTCAGCGGATGGACCCTGACCTTGCTGCAGTAGACGCACTTGTAGGGCCTCTCGCCGGAGTGGACGCGCATGTGCTTGTTGAGGCTGGACGACTGCGAGAAGCTCTTGCCGCACACGGTGCACTGTGTTGACAAAGAAGATGAGGACAGGTCAGTTAGCTGGGTTCGTAGCGCAGTTACCCAAACCGATACACCACCGCTCACCCGTGTTGAACAAGACAAAGGTTCCCCGCATAGACTGGGAACACAGACTGTTGGTGCAAGTTCTGTCAGCGAGCACCTAAGGCACACGAGGGGGTGGGTGGCCAGCACAACGCCCGGCCGCCTTTGTCTCCCCAGTGGCGATGTTTACTAGACACCGCACCAGGTACTCATTTGAGGCTGAGCCGACCTAGCGGAGGCCCAGGACCGGCTCAGATAGTCGTCACTGGTGTTGGCCGTGAGCAGGAATGGATCTCGGGTCGCCGGGTTTGGAGCGCATACAAATATATGTGCGTGGACTTGATGATTCTCCCGTAGAGGCTTTCACAGCACGAGGATGAGGTGCGTGAAAGGCAACTCCGTCCCTCCATTAACGGCAAACACACCCAACTCGGAGGAAGCTTCACTGTCAAAAGACCACGTGTCCAGGTCTGTCGAGGCGACATTCAGACTCTGTCGTCTCGACAGACCTGTTCTTCACCTGAGGACGGCTGCTTGCGTTGTGGCCGAAACGTCGTGAGAATTATTTTATTATGTTTTATTTGTATTATTTTATTACTTCCCTTCTACGTGACTTTACCGAAAGAACCAAGAAGATGAATCCCTGCAGTCACGAAAGCTTTAAATCGAAACATAAAAATGTTTTATTTTTATTATTTTATTACTTCCTTTCTACGTGACTTTACCGAAAGAACCAAGAAGAGGAATCCCTGCAGTCACGAAAGAAGCTTTAAATCGAAAGAAATGAAAATAATATAGGACGACGTTTCGATGGCAAGCAAGCGAGGAGCAAACAAGAGCTAGCTTATCGACACAAGATATAACCTTGTTGTAACAGCTCTCTCGCCGGCTCAGCAGTTCCACCACCGGATTATTTTTTCCCGCCTGAAGACGCGACCGCTTGTGTTGCGATCGAAACGTCGCGATCTGTTTTATTTTTCATTTTGTTTTATTTTTTCTACCCACGTGACTTTACCGAAAGAAACAAAGAGTATGAATCCCTGCGGTCACGAAAGCCTCAATCAAGATTGACACGTACACTGCTTGGTGCTCATAGTCACGTGCACGCGTATATTCGCACACATATCAGAATCAGAATATTTATTTAAACTACAGGAGGAGTCCGATGAGCTAATAAGCTCTTTCTCACAGATGTCCAGTAGGGGCAACTTGTAAACACATTACAACAACAAATATTACAAAAACAAATCACCAAAACAAATACAACTAAACCATCTGCATCCTACCAGACAAAGCCCACGGAGGTATTAACCTCTTTTTCAGAAGCGACCTGGCCACAAATGATAACGCTCAACAAGGCGGCCCCACCATTTGGACATTTGTAGCCCCAAACAGAATTTAAATAACCTCAGGTGCACGTTTCTAAATGTGGTGGGAAAGAAAAGAATCGAACTCGAGCCCGCCCGCCCGCCCGTACGTACACGCCCGCACGTGACATGTCGCAATCGGGTACCCGATACCCGTACCCTACTCGATACCCGGCTACCCGTACCCGGCCGAGTATCGGGTACGGGTACGGTTAACCCGGGTAACCGTTTGCGACCCTGGTGCGGCCGGGTACGGGTACGGGTAAGGAATCAAAACCCGTTTGCGACCTCTGCCGCACACATGTACACGCCCACGTACCTTGTGCGGCCGGTGCTTCTCGTGCACGTGCAGGATGTGCACGCGCAGGCGGTCGCGCTTCTCGAAGGAGCGGGTGCACAGGTTGCACGGGTACTTGCGGTCGCCGAGGTCCACGCAGCGCGTGTACTTGAGGTGCTTGTCGCGGTAGTAGCGGTACGCGAACACCTTGCCGCAGCGCTCGCAGCGGTAGCCCTCGCCGCTCTCTGCGTGCACGCCACACGGCAAGGGATAAGACAAAGGTCCCCCCTCCCGTGTAGACTTAACAGACCGCCGGGGCAAGTGCTGTGAAGGCGAGCAGCACCTGCGAAGGCCGGCACGGCGCACGACGGGGTCGGGTGGCCAACGCCACGCCGTGCCGCCTTCGTCTCCCGATGTTTAAACACCGCACCAGGTGCTCGTTTGAGGCTGAGTCGACCTAGGAGAGGCCCAGCAACGGTTCAGATGATCGTCACCGGTGTTGGCCGTGAGTGGCAATCGAGCTCGGGCCGCCGGGTCCGTAGTGGTGGAGCTGATGGTGAGGCCCCATCTCTTAGAGGCATGCTCCAGGTTCAGCAGTAATGTCTCCACTTACCAGATCATCAACATATGCAATATAGTTGAACAACAGGGAGCTATCGCTCGACCGCACCCGGGCAACAGCCAGCCTCCAATTTTACCTGTACCAGATTAAGATCCCTCTGGTACAGTCAGGGAAAGTCTTGAACTGCGTGGTCAAAGAAGATCTTAAATAGTGTAAGGGCCAGAAAAAAATCCTTGTGGAGCCCCAAGGTGAACAGGAAATGTCTCCGACTCCCATCCACGCAGCATCAGCCAGACCTGCCCACCATCATAAAGGTCCTCAAATGATTGTGAGCAGAGTCAGGGACTCTGAAAGCACGCACAACAACCCAAAGCCCTGATCTATTGATAGCATCAGAGGCCTTGACCAGGCCAAACAACGCAGAGATGTAGGTCCCGTTGATATTACCTACACATCTGCTGGAGGATACTAACAGAACAAATGGGGTCCGTGCACATTGGGGCTTTGCGAGCCTCTCCTCAGCGTGGCTGGCAAGGCGATGTTTAATTATTCTTTCCAGGGCCTTTACCAGCACTGAGGAGCGAGATGGCCCAAAAGTTTTTGCAATCAGAACAGTCCCGATAAAAAAAGAACATGGAGGACCACCAGAGCATCCTTGGAATCATGCGGAACTGGTCGTGTGGACCAGCCCCATTGTAATGATGTGGCATAGAGGAGTTTGCACGCCACCCTCTCTCAGCAGTTACTTTGAGAGGTCATCTCTACCTGCTGCTTTGTATGTACGTTGAACTTCCTTCGCACCGTACGTAGCCAACCGTGCTAATCGGATGTGCGATTTACCTGGTCTCATGCTCTGGATCGTCCTTCGCACTTCCTCAACAGATGGCACACCATCCAGCCACTCACAGGGGGTGACAACTTCTTCCAATGTTTGAGGCACCGCAGCCCCAGCAGGATCAAAGCCCCCCTTTCCCCATGATGTTGTTTCAGCCGAGGGGTTTTATCTCCCACAAGACCTCACAGAAATGCTCGGTAAAGCTGCCAGACCCATTCCTGGGGGTCGGAGATCGGATCACCTTTCTTTCCCTGAAGCATGGGGAATAGGTGAGGCGCTGCGAGCTACTTTGCTATCGACACCAACCACCATCGTACCATCAGCCGTGACCGCCTCTCCATATCCTTCCACGTCTCCTCCTCCTGCCATCCTCCCATCGCCCACCGCCATCGCCATCACCGTCGTTTTCACCGCCGCCGCCGCGGCCGCCATCACCATCATCAGACCGCCGTCGCCGCCGCCGGCGGCGCCCACCCCGGCCGCCGCGGCCTCCGCGTCTTCCGCCGCGGGGCTCGCCGCGTCTCCGCCGCCCGGCCCGGGTCCCGGCCCGCGTCCCGGGCCCGCTCCGGGACTCGAGGCCGCGGCCGTCGGGAGCCTGAGCCCCACGGGGATGCCCAGGAACTGCAGGTAGGCGGACTCGCCGTACCACACGAGGAGCTCGCGGCCCGAGGGGACGTCGCGGCTCGCCTCGTACACGATGGAGCGGCCGCTCTGCAGCGCCACGAGGTTCTGCTCGGAGGAGCTCCGCGCGCAGTTCACCAGCGACATCCAGTTGCCCGCCGCGCCGCGCCCGTCGATGAAGTGGCTCAGGCGGCCCCCCTCGAAAATCTGTGGGGTGGGAGGCAGTGGGGGGTGGAGTGTTGAATGGAGGGTTTGTTGTGGTGGAGGGGGAGACCAGGGCATGAAAACAAAGATAAGCTTCAGATTTGGGCGGTTTGGGGGTGTTTGGGGGATGAGTGGCATGAGGTTTTGGAGGAAGTGGAAAGGTGGCAGAGTGGTAGAGGTAGGGGTAAGGAGAACGTGGCAGTGGAGGAGGTGATGGTGGAACTAGAGGTCGACGTCATGGATGATGAAGGGATGAGATGGTGGTGGTGATGGTGATTGTGGTGGGGGTGGGGTTGTCGTCCGTAGAAGGTGACGGTAGTTGCGGTGCGACCGTGGTCACTGCTGTCGAGAATTTCGAGCTCGCGACTCGTGAGTCTCCCACACACGCACACACACACACACACGCGCCGGTGTTCGTGCGAGCGAGCGAGCGAGACGGACTCTCACCTCCCACATGTGCGAGTTGTCGTCGTGCGTCTTGATCTCGCTGGGCGAGACGACGCGGCCCGCGTAGGGCCCGAAGCGCGTGCCCCGCGCCACGAGGCCCCGCGTGCAGAACACCCCGTAGTGCGCCTCGGCGCCCAGCCACGTGTGCAGGATGCTGAGGCCTGTCTCACGCGTGCACGTGAGAGACACGTGTGACTATGTCTCACGCATAGACGTGAGAGACACGTGTGACTACGTCTCGCGTAGACGTGAGAGACACGGGATGCACGTGAGAGACACGTGGGACTACGTCTCACGTAGACGTTAGAGACACGGGTGACTATGTCTCGCGTAGACGTGAGAGACACGGGGTGCGCGTGAGAGACACAGGGTGCACGTGAGAGACACAGGTGACTACGTCTTGCGTAGACGTGAGAGACACGGGGTGTGCGTGAGAGACACGTGGGACTACGTCTCGCGTAGACGTGAGAGACACGGGGTGCGCGTGAGAGACACGGGGTGCGCGTGAGAGACACGTGGGACTACGTCTCGCGTAGACGTGAGAGACACGGGGTGCGCGTGAGAGACACGTGGGACTATGTCTCGCGTGAGAGACACGGGGTGCACGTGAGAGACACGTGTGACTACGTCTTGCATGCACGTGAGAGACACGGGGTGCACGTGAGAGACACGGGTCACTACCGTCACACCCAACGCACCTTCAGGGAGGTTGAGAGACTCGCGATCCAGTGGCACAGTCTGAGGCCTCACACCTGGGAGAGGCAAAGACGAACAGGTGAGGGAGGCACACCGCGGACGTGTGAGAGGAGGTAAAGGGAGGAGCCGGGGGGCAGGTGCGGGTGGGAGGTGGGGTGGGGGCCGGGGTATCTCTCTCTCTGCCCCGTTGGGATCTCTCTCCATTCATCTCTCCCCACTCTCTCCCCATCGCTTCTTTCCGCCTCTTCAAGGATGCACACACACAACACGTACATGTGTAACTTCAATAGAGCCTGTATGCGGTGTGAGTTGACTAGTCGGCACGGGAGGTAATGACAGGGGAGTCAGTTGTAAGTGCGAAGGGACTGGTGGCCACGGGAGGTAATGACAGGGGCATCAGTTGTGAGTACGAAGGGACTGGTGGCTACGGGAGGTAATGACAGGGGCATCAGTTGTGAGTGCGAAGGGACTGGTGGCCACGGGAGGTAATGACTGGGGCATCAGTTGTGAGTGCGAAGAGACTGGTGGCCACGGGAGGTAATAACAGGGGAGTCAGTTGTGAGTGCGAAGGGACTGGTGGCTACGGGAGGCAATGACAGGGGAGTCAGCTGTGAGTGTGAAGGGACTTGTGGTCACGGGAGGTAATGACAGGGGAGTCAGTTGTGAGTGTGAAGGGACTGGTGGCTACGGGAGGCAATGACAATGGAGTCAGTTGTGAGTGCGAAGGTACTGGTGGCCATGAGAGGTAATGACAGGGGAGTCAGTTGTGAGTGTGAAGGGACTGGTGGCCACGGGAAGTAATGACAGGGGAATCAGTTGTGAGTGCGAAGGGACTGGTGGCCACGGGAGGTAATGACAGGGGTATCAGTTGTGAGTGCGAAGGGACTGGTGGCCACGGGAGGTAATGACAGGGGCATCAGTTGTGAGTGCGAAGGGACTGGTGGCCACGGGAGGTAATGACAGGGGCATCAGTTGTGAGTGCGAATGGACTGGTGGCCACGGGAGGTAATGACAGGGTAGTCAGCTGTGAGGGCGAAGGGACTGGTGGCCACGGGAGGTAATGACTGGGGCATCAGTTGTGAGTGCGAAGAGACTGGTGGCCACGGAAGGTAATGACAGGGGAGTCAGTTGTGAGTGCGAAGGGACTGGTGGCTACGGGAGGTAATGACAGGGGAGTCAGCTGTGAGTGTGAAGGGACTGGTGGCCATGGGAGGTAGTGACAGGGGAGTCAGTTGTGAGTACGAAGAGACTGGCGGCCATGGGAGGTAATGACAGGGGAGTCAGTTGTGAGTGCGAAGGGACTGGTAGCCACGGGAGGTAATGACAGGGGAGTCAGTTGTGAGTGCGAGGGGACTGGTGGCCACGGGAGGTAATGACAGGGGAGTCAGTTGTGAGTGCGAAGGGACTGGTGGCCACGGTAGGTAATGACAGGGGTATCAGTTGTGAGTACGAGGGGACTGGTGGCTACGAGAATGATTGAGAAGGGAGCGTGGTCGGGTGACGGAAGAGGACGGTGGAGTCTGCCGGTGGAGCGAGCGTTCAGAGTCAGCGAGAATGATCGAGAAGGGGGGCGTGGCCTCGTGTAGGTATAAAAGGGGGACCTGCGCGGGAGACTCGGGGCTGTTGCGGTGGGGGTCTCCGCCTGATGTCAAGTGAACGTGTCTTCAATAAAGTGCCATCTCAACAGTCGTCGTCATTACACATACGCACGCACAGATTCCCACACACTCATACACACATATACACACAGACACACCCTCGTACGCACACAATACACCTGCACACAAAGACAACGATCCCCCCGTACAGCCTTAACGGACTATTGGTGGAGTTCTGTTAGCGATCTGCACCTATGAAGATCGGCACGGCACACGAGAGAGTGGGTGACTAGCACCACCACGCCCGGCCGCCTTTGTCTCCCTCGTGGCGATGTTTACACCTGCATACACTCGCACACACGTGCCCCACGCACTCTTACACTCGCACCAAACTTAACGGCAAATATTCATGCATGGTCTCTGATACTGTTGGGGCAAGTGCTGTTAGTGAGCAGCGTCTATGAAGGCCGGCCAACAGCACACGAGGGGGTGGGTGACCAGCACCGCGCCCGGCCACCTTTGACTCCGCAGTGGCGATGTTTACGCACCGTGCCACATACTCATTTGAGGCCGAGTCAACCTAGCGGAGGCCTAGGACCCGTTCAGATAATCGTCAACCGGTGATTGCCTGAGCGGGAATCGAACTCGGGTAACCGGGTTAGTAGCACAGCGAGAAAACCATGCACTACCACTCCCCGCACACACACACGGGGGCAATGCTCGCGAGCACACACACTTTCACACACACTCCCAGCGCGAGGCCGACTAATTACATCTCGTGGAGGATCGCTCCGCTGAACAAAATAGTTCCGTGAATCATTTTGCGAGTGCGAGTTCGGGTTTTAAGTCGATGTTAAAAAGAAATGTTTCATGGAAGTTGGTTCGTAAGTGCAGGTGTTCGTAAGTTGGGTGTTCGTAAGTCGGGTGTTTATACGTCGAGGACTGCCTGTTTCCAGTTCAATGGGCAAAAACAGTTTTAGTTAAGACGCGAGGAAAAAAATAATTCAAAGGTAAGATCAAGATGTCATCACGGTCAATATGCCGTACCAAGACTGTTGTCGATGGCATTGCAAGTTATAATAATGCCAACTTGGAACGCACCGCGCACAGCATTCGCTCACTCGCATAAGGGGCATGTGTACGTTGCAGGATACCGGAATGCCTGGAGAAAACGAATGCGTTTGAGTGAGGGGGCAACACCTCTACAGATGGAACAGTTCAGAGACTCATCCACATTTGGCTGTCCTGCCTTTACCTGGCTGAGCTAGGGGTACGGCACTTTCTTAACACCCACGGGCTAGAGAGCGTGGAACAGATGGGGGTTAGTCCACACACTTTGCTGTACCGCCTTCTGCTGGCGACGCCCACCCACGGAAAGGGAGAGAATGTCGGAAACATCCGTGGGGCGATCCAGCAACCCTCGTTGCTGTCACCACACAGTGCTGGATCAGAGTAGCAACAGCAGCGTAACAACCACCACCACCACCACCGCCACCACCCACCACCGCCACCACCCACCACCGCCACCACCAGCGCAACCACCACCGTCACCGCCGTCACCGCCGCCACCCACCACTGCCACCACCACTGCCACTGTCACCGCCACCACCGTCACCACCGCCACCCACCACCACCAGACCCTACAGATGTAGAGCAACCTCCGCTGGGCAGTCACAGTCATCACCACACTCGGTGATTTTCTACCACTCATGGTCATCCTCAACACCACCACCACCACCACCAAACAACAACACAACACAGCATTCGAGCATTACTGCTACGAAACCGTCCGGGGAGGTTCGTCTTGACTCGGGTCACCATGGCAGTAAATGTGACTTTTCCCATCGTGGAGTGAGCATGAGACCGCAGGGCTGTAAACTTCACCTCTGCCCTCCAGGACCCGGCGGAGTGTGTGCATAGTACCGACAGCGTTCAAACTGCAGCATAATTGGTGCGCTCCGTGCCAGATATCGCGGGGTTATCGTGGACGGAAAGTTGACCCCTTCCAAAGCCCCCGCATGAAATAGATTCGCAAAAAGACCAAGTCAAGTTCCCTCCCCCTGCTACAGAAACTTGCAGGGCCGACCTGGCATGCACCTGCTGTTAAGCGCCGCGAACTACTGGATATGTGTGCGCAAAAAGAGCTTTGCAGCTAATAGGATTGCTCGAGTACGAATAAATATTCTGACGTCTTCTGAACTTTACCGCCCTCCCCCCTCCACATCTCTGGTCTGCTCGGTGGCAGGGTCACTGCAATTTCAGCGGCAGCTCATCAACGACACTGCCAAGATTGCAGGGCGAAGCAACGCCAACAATTAGGCACCATGACGGACGCTCTGAGAACAAGACGGGGATGGCTCCTGGGCTGCCGATTCTTGGGGAACATCCCCTTGCCGACAAATCTCCGCAGAGACGTCGCGCGGACCGCACGGGGAGTATTTTTGGCACGCGGTTGTCGCCGACGACGACGACATCGATGACCACCGCTACGCTGCAACCATCATCTCAACCAAGACCTCAATTAAGTCACCTCCTCCTGGCCGCCGACTGGGGTCCCAGTGATCACCTCGCTTCTGGGACCACGCTTTGCTGCTGCTGCTGCTGCTTCCATCCTCGAGTTTCACCACAACCCCCAGATCGGGAAGAAACGCCGCTGGCGAACGGCATGGGAACAACGCCCAGAGTTAAATTTCGATTTAAAGCTTTCGTGACTGCAGGGATTCATCTTCTTGGTTCTTTCGGTAAAGTCACGTAGAATGTAAATAATAAAATAATAACAATAAACGTTATCAAATCATATAATAAAAGAATATAATATAATAAAATATTTTATTATGTTTTATTTTTATTACTTTATTATTTCCATTCGACGTGACTTTACCGAAACAACCAAGAAAACGCCCAGAGTTATAAACACCTCCGCATAATTATGAAAGTCACCGCCAGCGTTTCGATTTAAAACTTTCGTGACTGCAGGGATTGATATTCTTGGATCTTTCCGTAAAGTCACGTAGAAGGGAAATAATAAAATAATAAAACATAATAAAATTCTCACGAAGTTTCGGCCACAACACAAGCAGCCGTCCTCAGGTGAAGAACAGAACTGTCGGAAAGACAGCGTCCTAATGGACACTGCTAAGCTTGGCAGCGTATTTTAAGCTGGGTGGGAGGAGCAGAGCGCCTTGACAAAGGAGTTTACATATCAACAGAGGAGTTTAGCATATTGACGCGAAAGAACTGCTTCTACCCTACGACCATACAATAAACCGATGTGAAAAAACTAGAAAAAAAACTACATCAATATAATCAATGTACTCAATATACTCTCCAATAAGCTGAGCTATTAACATTAAGTAACTGGGTATAGACTACACTATATGATGACTACCATATAATGAACCGATATAAAACTGAAATATAAACTACATCAATATAAATTTCGATTTAAAGCTTCCGTGACTGCAGGGATTCATCTTCTTGGTTCTTTCGGTAAAGTCGCGTAGAATGGAATTCTACGCGACTTTACATCAATATAATCAATTGCCTACATGAAGATGAGTCGAGTATTACATCTCCACAGTTCACATCTCGAGGTGGCCTGCGTCTCACTTGGTCCCAGGTGTCTCCTCTGTCGCTCCGTGGTCTCCGGACTCCTGGGTGTCTCGTCATGGTTCGAGATCCTCCCTTTGTCTCCAAAATGTCCAGCATCTCTCTCTCTCTCTCTCTGCATCTTTCCGTGTCTCCCGTGTCTCCACATGACCCACCCTAGTCTCCCTGTATCTCCAAGATCTCCACGTGATCTCCCCGTGTCCACCACATGACCCACCCTAGTCTCCCTGTATCTCCAGTATCTCCACGTGATCTCCCCGTGTCCACCACATGACCCACCCTAGTCTCCCTGTATCTCCAGTATCTCCACGTGATCTCCCCGTGTCCACCACGTGACCCACCCTAGTCTCCCTGTATCTCCAGCATCTCCACGTGATCTCCCCATGTCCACCACGTGACCCACCCTAGTCTCCCTGTATCTCCACATGATCTCCCCGTGTCCATCACGTGACCCACCCTAGTCTCCCTGTATCTCCAGTATCTCCACGTGATCTCCCCGTGTCCATCACGTGACCCACCCTAGTCTCCCTGTATCTCCAGCATCTCCACGTGATCTCCCCGTGTCCATCACGTGACCCACCCTAGTTTCCCTGTATCTCCAGCATCTCCACGTGATCTCCCCGTGTCCATCACATGACCCACCCTAGTTTCCCTGTATCTCCAGTATCTCCACGTGATCTCCCCGTGTCCACCACGTGACCCACCCTAGTCTCCCTGTATCTCCACGTGATCTCCCCGTGTCCACCACGTGACCCATCATAGTCTCCCTGTATCTACAGTATCTCCACGTGATCTCCCGTGTCCATCACGTGACCCCCCCTAGTCTCCCTGGATCTCCAGCATCTCCACGTGATCTCCCCGTGTCCACCACGTGACCCACCCTAGTCTCCCTGTATCTCCAGCATCTCCACGTGATCTCCCCGTGTCCACCACGTGACCCACCCTAGTCTCCCTGTATCTCCAGCATCTCCACGTGATCTCCCCGTGTCCATCACGTGACCCACCCTAGTCTCCCTGTATCTCCAGTATCTCCACGTGATCTCCCCGTGTCCACCACGTGACCCACCCTAGTCTCCCTGTATCTCCAGTATCTCCACGTGATCTCCCCGTGTCCATCACGTGACCCACCCTAGTCTCCCTGGATCTCCAGTATCTCCACGTGATCTCCCCGTGTCCACCACGTGACCCACCCTAGACTCCCTGTATCTCCAGTATCTCCACGTGATCTCCCGTGTCCATCACGTGACCCACCCTAGTCTCCCTGTATCTCCAATATCTCCACGTGATCTCCCCGTGTCCATCACATGACCCACCCTAGTCTCCCTGGATCTCCAGTATTTCCACGTGATCTCCCCGTGTCCATCACGTGACCCACCCTGGTCTCCCTGTATCTCCAGTATCTCCACGTGATCTCCCCGTGTCCACCACGTGACCCACCCTAGTTTCCCTGTATCTCCAGTATCTCCACGTGATCTCCCCGTGTCCATCACGTGACCCACCCTGGTCTCCCTGTATCTCCAGTATCTCCACGTGATCTCCCCGTGTCCACCACGTGACCCACCCTAGTCTCCCTGTATCTCCAGTATCTCCACGTGATCTCCCCGTGTCCATCACGTGACCCACCCTAGTCTCCCTGGATCTCCAGTATCTCCACGTGATCTCCCGTGTCCATCACGTGACCCACCCTAGTCTCCCTGTATCTCCAGTATCTCCACGTGATCTCCCCGTGTCCACCACGTGACCCACCCTAGTCTCCCTGTATCTCCAGTATCTCCACGTGATCTCCCCGTGTCCATCACGTGACCCACCCTAGTCTCCCTGGATCTCCAGTATCTCCACGTGATCTCCCCGTGTCCACCACGTGACCCACCCTAGTCTCCCTGTATCTCCAGTATCTCCACGTGATCTCCCGTGTCCATCACGTGACCCACCCTAGTCTCCCTGTATCTCCAATATCTCCACGTGATCTCCCCGTGTCCATCACATGACCCACCCTAGTCTCCCTGGATCTCCAGTATCTCCACGTGATCTCCCCGTGTCCATCACGTGACCCACCCTGGTCTCCCTGTATCTCCAGTATCTCCACGTGATCTCCCCGTGTCCACCACGTGACCCACCCTAGTTTCCCTGTATCTCCAGCATCTCCACGTGATCTCCCCGTGTCCATCACATGACCCACCCTAGTCTCCCTGTATCTCCACGTGATCTCCCCGTGTCCATCACGTGACCCACCCTAGTCTCCCTGTATCTCCAGCATCTCCACGTGATCTCCCCGTGTCCATCACGTGACCCACCCTAGTCTCCCTGGATCTCCGCATATTCTCTCCTCCATCTCCTCGCGATTTCGCCCCCCTCTCTCCGCCGTGGCCTCGCCACAACCTCCTTATGTCTCTGCGTGTCCTCCCCGCGTGTGGTGTCTTCTCACCTGCAGGAAGGCCCAGGTGAAGGCCCGAGATGGCGTGCCCTGCGACCCCTCCCCGCGGGCCCAACCTCCCGTACAGCACCGCGTGCAGCTCCGCTTCAGAGAAATAGAACCTTTGTTGCACTTGATGTTGTGGCTGATGATGATGATGATGTGGTTGATGGTGTTGCTGTTGTTGTTGTTGCCGGTGATGGTGGTGGTGGTGTTGACGTTGTTGCTGAGCTTGAGTCTGGTTCTGAGTTTGCTGTTGATGATGCTGATTGTTTTGTCGATTGTTCTGACCGTGTTGTTGATGTTGTTGTTGTTGTTGATGCTGGTGATGTTGGTGATGTTGGTGGGGACGGGACGGAGAGATGGAGGGCTCCCCCCCTATGGGGAGGAAAGGCATTGGGCGACACGGAACTTCACGGGCCTTGGGCAGCACCAGCGGCAGGGGCATTGCGAGGGGCAAGGCCGGGGTCAACTTCCCTTGCTGCTGCTGTTGCTGCTGCTGTTGCTGCTGTTGCAGGTGTTGCAGATGCTGCTGCTGCTGATGTCCATTCCCATGATGGTGCAGGTGATGGTGGTGATGGTAGGCGCGATGATGGTGGTGGTGCTGATGTAGTTGCGACGGTGGCAGTAGCAGCGCCCCCGCGTTCGGAGCAGCAACAACAGCGGCGGTGGCGGCGGCGGCGGGGAGAGCCCCTCCGTAGGGTCCCGGCGAAGGCCCCACCTCGAGGTGAAGGCCCGGGTAGGCGAAGGCCGGCCTGCAGCCCTTGAGTGTGGCCCCCTCGGCCACCAGTCCAGGCAGCAAGTGGTGGAGGCCCGCAGAGGGCCCTCCAAGCCTTCGCCTCGGCGACGCCCCAGGGAAGGCCATCATGGTCCCCGGGACCTCTCCGCCTGGTTGCGGTGCTCTAGGAACGCGGGGAGCCCCTTTTGGGGGGCCATGCGAAGAGAGCGGCGGACCAGGGCGACTGGGTGGTGGCGACGACGGCGGCGGCGGTGGAGATTCAAAAGCAAACGGACGGTGAGGTGCAGACCCACGTCCTCTCTCCTCTTCGGCCTCCACCTCCTCTTCCTTCACCTCCTTCTCCTCCTCCTCCTCGCCGAGTGGTGTCTGCTTGCTCTGCGTGTCTCCCCTGGGGTCTAGAGGCTCTGCGCCAAGGAACGGCCTCGGAATGAATCCTGCGGGGCACAACACATCGATCCCTGGGGTTACATCAAAAAAGTTGGGACAAATCAGTAACTTTATCATCATAATCATCATCAGCAGCAGCAGCAGCTGTCGTGGTCAAATCCGCTGCTGTATGAAGGTCACCCCCAAGCTACCCTCAAGGTGTCTCCATGCCTGCATGTAATTAAATCGACGGGACAGGAGGAAGATGAACGACACGTGGAATTAGAGAACGCACGCATGCAGGTTTCTAACGATGTCATTCACAGTTTCGATTTAAAGCTTTCGTGACTGCAGGAATTCATCTTATTGGTTCTTTCGGTAAAGTCACGTAAAAGGGAAGTAATAAAATAATAAAAATAAATTATATTATTTTATTATGTTTTATTTTTATTATTTTATTACTTCCCTTCTACGTGACTTTACCGAAAGAACCAAGAAGAAGGTCATTCAAAGTGTCAAGAAAGGGCAAGTGGGCTTGGTGGACAGAGGACGTGGTTGACGTGCAGCTACGAGATGTGCAGCGGGCAGGACACAGTCACGGCTAGAAGGGGCGGCGATGATGATGATGGTGGTGGTGGTGATGGTCAAGGCCTATGATACCATCAGTAGCCCTGGGCTCTGGGTTGTTCTTCATGCTTTCGGGGTCACTAACTCTCTGCTCACAATTATTAAGGACCTTCATGATGGTGGGCAGGCTACGTGGCTAAAACCTACGTGGCTGGGAGTCAGAGCAATTCCCTGTTCACCTTTGGGTGTGACAGGGATGTCCTCTGGCTCCAACATAATTGAACATCTGTTTTGACCACGTGGTTGGTGAAGCCTTTGATGGCTGTACCAGAGGAATTTTCATCTGATACAGATACAGTGGGAGGCTGATCGATGCCCGGGTGCAGTCAAGGGATGGCTCCCAATTGGTCAACCACGTTATTGTTGCTCTCTCAAAGGAGGAGTTGGAGGTGCTGCTGCTGAACCTGGAGCTTGCCACTAAGAGGTGGGGCCTTACCATCAGTCCCACCAAAACTATACACCTGCCTGGGTTTTTTGTGCCATCAAACGCCACAACTCCCAATTGGTGATGGGGCAGTTGTGGAGAGAGTGGAGAGTTTTCCATACCTCGGCAGTGTGCTCATGGCCGGCTCCGGTTTTACAGCAGAAGTTTCATGCTGAATCAAGCGAGCGACATTATCTTTTCATCAGCTGTGCAACGCTGTGTGGATGTTACCTAGTCTGTCACTCCACACGAAGCTTCAGGTCTTCTTGGCCACGGTCATGTCCTCCCTTCTCTATGCTTGCGAAACGTGGACCCACCTAATTGAACATCGTCGCCGGTTAGAAAGATTGAGGCTGGCCTGCCTAAAATTCCTCCTGGAATTAACCATCCGGGATTGTATTAGATGCTCACAAATCTTTGAAAGATCTGGACAAAGTCCCATCGGTGAGCTCCTCCGGCAGGCAAGGCTGCGTTTGGCCGGGTCATGTAGCCCACATGCCCAGCCACCACATGCCTAAACAGCTTTTGTTTGGCCGAATAGAGGGGGCTATATGGAGTGATGTGGTAGAGGCGGTTGTGAACCTGAGTGAACTTGCAGGTGACTGGTACCAGCGGTGTCAAAACTGGTCTCCTGAAGGACGCTGCTACTGGGCAGTTGGAGGCAGTCGCCCCTCAGCAACAGCGGAGGGCAGAGGAGCGATGTTCACAACAATGAGAGGAGCGCCGGGTGACTAAAACACAGCAAGTTGTCTCATTAGGGGGCACAGGTGGTGCATTGGCCAATCATCTTAGTCAGTTGACCCATGGCACCTGGGTCTATCCTGTGACCTCCTGCCAGCAGGCGTTTGACACTTCACGTGGCCTTAACATGCACATAGCCATGTACAAGCACTGTTGTGATGTCACCACAACTTAGTGGCGAATGCCGGTTGCTGGTGGTGGTGGTGGTGGATTGTGTGGGGAGCTCACAAATCCTTGAAAGATCTGGACACGTTCCCATCAGTGAGCTCCTCCGGTAGGCAAGGCTGCGTTGGTTGGGTGATGTAGCCCGCATGCCCAGCCACCGCATGTCCAAGCAGCTTCTGTTTGGCTGCATAAAGGGGGCTAATTGGGCACGACATGGGCTGGAGAAGAGATGAACTGATGCGGTACGGGAGGATGTGGAGCTGAGTGGACTTGAATTTCGATTTAAAGCTTTCGTGACTGCAGGGATTCATCTTCTTGGTTCTTTCGCTAAAGTCACGTAGAAGGGAAGTAATACAATAATAAAAATAAAACATTTTTATGTTTCGATTTAAAGCTTTCGTGACTGCAGGGATTCATCTTCTTGGTTCTTTCGCTAAAGTCACGTAGAAGGGAAGTAATAAAATAATAAAAATAATAAAATAATAAAATAATTCTCACGACGTTTCGGCCACAACGCAAGCAGCCCTCCTCAGGTGAAGAACATGTCTGTCGATAAGACAGAGTCTAAATGACACGTCTTAGGCTTGGGGTGTCTTTTTAAGCTGAGGGAGGAGGAAGAGAGTCTTGACAAAAGAGTGGACTTGCCGACGACTGGTACCAGGGGCCTCTGTTAAGGAGGCTCGCGTGGCCTCAAAGTGCACCTGGCCTGGCACCGGCGCTGTGGTGATGTCACCATCACTTAGTGGGGAATTGCGGGTATTGGTGGTGATGATGGTGGTGGTGGTGGTGATGGTGGTGATAATGGTGGTGGTGGTGATGATGGTGGTGGTGGTGATGGTGGTGGTAGTGATGATGGTGGTGGTAGTAATGATGGTGGTGGTAGTAATGGTGGTACTGATGGTGGCAGTGGTGATGGTGGTGATGATGGTGGTGGTGGTTATGACGGTGGTGATTTTGAATTTTTACAGATGACCAGTCGTTTCGCAAGCATCTATATTTTGCAATGTGTACAGTAAAACAATAACAAGAATAAATGCTTAGAGCAATTAGGCGATATAAATACTGTAGAGTGTATAAATTACAAACGATCGTAATAGCAAACGCGACTTCAAATCATAAAACTTCCAGATATCGGAGGAATCACCCATAACTAAACAAAAATTTAACCCGTAAAAACCAAGTTTTTCACTATAAATCCTTTATATGCGTGGCGGCTAGAGTCCTCTCGTCCTCTGGCTTGAGATGGCTGCCACCTATGGGTCAGATGATTGCCTGCCACCATTAAGCAATTGGTAATTAAATATTTTTAAAAATTCCTAAAAAGTGTAACATTTTGGAAAAAAAAATTCACGAAAATACATTGTCACGCACAACGAGTCTGTGTACAAAATGTCAGCTCGATTGGATCACGGGAAGTAGGTTATATGCGTGGCGGCTAGAGTCCTCTCGTCCTCTGGCTTGAGATGGCTGCCACCTATGGGTCAGATGATTGCCTGCCACCATTAAGCAATTGGTAATTAAATATAATTTATTTTTTCCTAAAAAGTGTAAAATTTTAGGGGAAAAATTTCACGAAAATAAATTGTCACGCACAACGAGTCTGTGTGCAAAATGTCAGCTCGATTGGATCACGGGAAGTGGGTTAAACAACGACCGAAAGATTTGCACGGTCGTAAGCACGCAAGCAAGCACGCAAGTAAACTCAATATAAAGGATTTAAAAAATATCCCCGTTCTTGGAAGCGCAATTTAATTCGGCATCCGAAGTTAATTTCCCCAAGAGTTCAAAGCCCATTGAGTCGCAAAGGGCGACACGACCGAACGAGACAGAGCGAAATCAAAAAGGCAGATGCGGTCAAAATTGAAAGGATATTTGTAAGCGTAACACAAAAGACAACATCCGTTAACTTGAGCTCAACAAAGGACACATCACGCCAACTTTGAGGTCAGTGAAGGGCGCGTAACAGAATGAAGTTGTTCATTTTAACGCTTCATAAAGCATGACGGTCTGCCGCACCAAACTCTTTCCGAACGGCCGTAATTATATTCTTGGTTCTTTCGGTAAAGTCACGTAGAAGGGGAATAATACAAATAAAACAATAAAATTCTCACGAAGTTTCGATTGCAACACAAGCAATCATCATCAGGTGTGAAACCCACAGCAAGAAAATTAAAATTAATTTTTTAAAAAAATGTTTTAACGTGACTTGACCGAAAGAACCAAGAATGACTCCCTGCAGTCACGAAAGCTTTAAATCAAAATTGGGCCGTAATTAGATTATATGCTGTAAGAACGTGTCTCATTCAGACACCCATCACTCAACCTTGTTGCGTTGCAAAGGCCTCATCAATGAACTCTGGATGTCGCCTGATGATGATGCCGTTTGTAATCACCGGTGAAACGTCGTGGC